TAAAACCCTAGGTTATGAGTGAGCACTACTGAAGAGTAGTTTCATACTAAGATGAAACAGCTATTCAAGGCTCCCAGGCTTTTTGTAAACTATGTATTGACTTGACTTTTAATTTCGAGTGAGTAGCACTTAAACAAATTTAAACCATATGTATATTATCAAGAGGAAAGTTCAAAGATGGCGTTGTAGTTGGAGTACTAATCAAGACAACAGGTAGAAAGGGAAAAACATATGCACATAATGATCATAATGGAATTATCGATATTATGTAAACACTTTAAAACTGATAATCCTACTTTACGTTGGACATCAATTGGAGGAACATTGGAGACCTGGGATCACTGGACAGCTGTTTCGTCATAGTATGGAACTCCTCAACAGTGTTGACTCATGACCTAACACCATCAGGAATCGAACCCAGCACCTTACGATCGAGCCACTAGGTCACCGTAACCCAGTGGTCCATATTTCCTACGTCTATCAGTTCACGACGTAGCACAACCTAAATCGCATGTCGTCATTGAGTAACTGTCCTCATGTTCCACTTGGTTGACTCCACTGGTTAAGACTTCTCATTAGAACTTCGGGAATCACTTCTCGAAGCTAGTCATCAATGAGCGCTAGATTAATTCTATCTACAGGTTTATGGAGATTTATCTTATTTGTTAGATTTCTACACAAACAGACTTGCAGATTGTGTCATGAACTATCAGAATATACTACTGAATAAAATCAGTAGTTAGGAACCACTCACGTTAATTTAAAAGGCTTTTGCAATTTATAACTCAGTTACAAACTGACTATTCTATTTAAGGTATACCGGCCCATGCAATTCAGCTAACCAGATTCAAGTTATTTGAACTAATTTGTCTGTGTGACGTGAATTTGTCGCGGTACACCTCAAAAGACAGAGACGGCGGTCCGACGATTAGATCACTCTGATCTAGCTGACTGATCAATTCGTTCAGTAGTATATTGCCTTAGTTTTTGACACTTTTTTTGTCAGATATTACACCTTCTGGTCTTGGCTAAGAGGGAGGTGGTTCCTGATGGAAACTCTGCTGATACTACACCTAGACAGTTGAAAAACTGCTCAAATTGGACCATATGATCTGTAAATCATTTGCAAAGGGTATAGCTCCTCTTTTATCCTTAATTATGCAAGACTATGTTCTGAAACTGTAATTTTAGCAACGGTTATGAAGACTCAAAAAGTAGGAAAAGTCTTCTTTGACTCTTTAACACAGCATTTATTACAGTATGTATGTGTGTGTGCGCGCTCCACTAACAGGCAGTCCCGAGATCAAACTGACTGTTAATCGAATTTAATTAGTTTGTAGAGACTTTATTGATACTGGGTAGTGATTGATGGGGGTGAAACGAAAATCTGGGTTGTAGAGGCAGGATTCGAACCAGTCACTTCCTGATTTTCGTAGGGTTTCTATTATTTTATCACATTACCGATGTTCAAGGTATCTTCTAAAACTGTAAGATACGAACCACACACATACTAGTCTCTATCGATCGTCTTGACCAAGTTTAAAGACCAATTTCATGGTTACAGCAACACTGTCTATGTATTATACAAATGAAACATAATGGTGACAATTTGTCGCTCAGGGTGAGGATAACGTTTGTTTGGTGTTCTCCAGGCTTTCAGGTTCGTTCCTAACGTTTCATCAATTGAAGTAAATGCTGATAAAGTCACCTCTCCGGGTTATATAACTTTCGAGAACAAACCTTAAAGCTCAGAGAACATCAAACACTTATCACCTGAGAACAGTGTCATAACTAGAGGTCACACTAACCACCTTCAATTCCCTTAGCTGTCAGTCCACTGAGTTAAACTGCTCAAATCATTTAGGTTTTGTAGAAATATTGTGAAAAATTGGTCAAATTAGAGTCTTTCAACATGTCAAATGAAACAGTATAATAATCATAATATATGTAGCAACCTAAAACCATGTCCGTTCGTGATGCTGAGTAACCAGATTACAAAACTGATCAGTAGAATTCGGTGTGCACTGAGGACAAGACAGTCTGAGATTGCCTACTGTCCACTAACCAATCAATGTGCTTAGTCCATGTCAACAGAAGGTTAGTGGTGACCCGAATAGTTCAGTGGTAACTTCTCTAACCGCAACATTGTATTCTCTCAGGAAAGATCAGTTCTACCAAGGTTACAGATACACCATACTGACTAGTACAAACAAGTGGGAAACTTGGTTACAGCAGAGTTTAGCTCAGTTGATCATACATTCATTTTTACTACTAACCAGTATTATTATTATTTTATGGCTTGTAAGACCTCGTCATCGATTGGACCGAATTGGTCGACTACTAAATGATATACAGGATTCTGTACGAATGCCTCTACATTGCCGGTGTTTTCACCTTTGATAGTTAGTGACAGTGGCCAGCAGTGGAGTTCACAACGCGTATTTCATCTTATTTGGGACTTGTCAGCTGGGTGTACCTGCACCCCAATGAGTATCAGTAGTGGTCAATTGATTCAGTTTAAACCATACGCGTTGTACAGTGACTACCATGACTCAGTAGCATTTGAAGCTGCTGGTTCTGGGTTAGAGTCTTACTGAAAATGACATTACTCACTAGAAGGCAGGTGCATCCAACTGACGAGTTCCAAATAGGACGAGACACTTGTTGTGGATTTCACTGCTAGCTTATTATCCACCAATGATAATATCATTATTACTATTATCATTTAATTTTGTAGTAGAATGAAGAAACAGTCACACACATTAGTGAGATGAACATTACAGAAAATGTACCGTTCCGTCTAGTCTCATCTTTCATACTAAGGACTAGGTAGTTATATGTTACCCACTAGTGAGTGACCAATCCAAGTACATACTATTATCCCTCAAAGGCCCATTGTTGACCTGAAAAGCCTATTCATTCAGTCTTTGGCTTCAGCACTGAGTGACGTAGGTTAGAACCCCATAGGGGAACACTGGTATCCCTATGGTTGTAGATACGCGTCGGTGATGAATGTCAACAAGTATGAAACCGTAGATGAAGCAGAACTTCCTGCCGATGGAATCCTACCATGTCTGACACCAAGATGAGCAAACTGGCATGTGTAAACTCTGTCGGTGTTTAACTGATCGATTCATATGATATTGACATGGTGTAGACCTAACGTGATTACATCAAAAATGCTTCCTATTTGGTCAAGTTGCGCTGAAGAACATCAACTAATAGGTTGCCGAAAGATTCACCATCAAGTACCTCAGCTCAGAGCATACCGTCTCATAAATCTTCCATTTCCTGAAACATAACCATTCCACATAGTTATTCCCATTAGCAATTCATACCTTTTTCAGCAATAAACGAAAGTCTCTGGTCATTCTTATGCATCACAAGCTCTTAATGGCAAAGAGTGATTTTAAAGGCCACCCAAGGGGAGTGCTGAAATGACCAATTAAGTTCCCATATTTCAACTAGGAAGTCAGCTTTTTGCAATTGCTTATCTCTGCAGTTGTTAGAGTGGCCTTTAAAGTTATTCAGGAAACGAATCTTGTGCATTATATAGAGTAATAAGAAGACAATAGTACATAGTGAAGATTTTTAGGTGTATGTGAGGCCTCACATATCGGGATACAGTCTTCTTATTGCTATTCAAGTCATTAGGTCAATGTTAGACCAAAAGTACCAGCTGAAGAGTCAATGAATTATGTGGGAGTTGTTTTGTACCAGTAAGGGACTCCTCGGCAGTTTTGATTTAAGTTGTTAGATTACATGACAGGATACTGATCTTACCCTGTTGTGGACATGAAATATAGTAAGATGGGAGACTATAGGACAAATAAGATTGATTATTCAGTGTTCATGCTGTTATTGTATCTTCTTGTCAAGGAAACCGTAGTATTGAATATGTCACAGATTATAGAATATACACATCCAGAAATCATAAAATCGTGAACACTAGGTTGAGTAAATCATGTCAAGTCTGAAGACACTTGTACACTATCTGTTGTATCGAGAATTGAAGTGTAGCATAAGAATATAATCGAAACAGTAAGCTGTTTACTACAAGGTTGTGAATTCCTCAAGATAACAGAAAATAGGGTACTAATGAATAGACTGACCAATAGAAAACTTATGCTTGAAAATATACACGACCCAGTGTAAATATTTTTTTACCACCTTAGTTCATGAATTTCCGATGACGCCTACATCGTCACTTTCAAACAAGAAATTGTATACATGAATCCTATACGATAAATAATCCAATCAGTAACTATCTTATACTGATTAATATTTATAATGTCGCTTTCCCCACATGATTTGATACCTATTAAACTCTAGTTAATGAGTTTTATAGGAAAGAAATAAAGAGACTACTGAACTCCACAGATATAAGTAGTATAGAACCATATGAATGAGCTTCACGAATTTTAAGTCTATTTGCTAAAAAAAGAAATCGATTTTATACTGTGCAGTGTATTTTAGCCTATTTTAAAAGGTAGCTAGTGGGGGTCACTAAGAGATCCATCACTATATAGTTCACCCTACGCATTTGACAGTTTGTTGATACGTAATACATACTTAAACTGTTATTCATCACTAACCTCTGATCATTTTAATTTAAAAAGCGAATAATACACACACACACACAAATACTAATACTAATAATGCATTATGGTTGTAACTTGAGATTTCAATAACTATTAGTAAAACGCAAACTTAATGAGGAAGTACAATTATCAATGTACAAGACGTAGCTATCATGCCTTGATAGCTTCATGAATAACACTTTGGCGTATGAAGCAATGAGTAACTAGGTTTGAGTTTCAATGTGAACAACATTCACCACTGGGAAGCAGGTACATTCAGCTGACGAGTCCTAAATGGACGAAATCCACTCATGGATTCCACTGCTATAATATGAATCGACAGATTGATCGATCCTATGAATAAATTAAATGATAATAATAATAATAATAATAACAAGAATAATGCAAACGTTTACGTACCTTAGTCAAGTCAGTCATACTTACTAAACGATTAGAGTTTAAACGGTTTGTAGGTGATTTTTTCGATTTCTTTTGCATAATTGGTAATTGTAATTGTCTTATTCCGTGCTGAACATAGTGTTCAGCTAATTTAGTAGAATCCAAACTGGTATAATCACAGAATAAACACTGATGTTTAATAGAATTTAAGAAAGGGTAATCATTTGTTTTCTGTGCATAACGTAAACATGACTGTAGTTGTCTTGACGATTTGCTGGGAGTTTCAGGTATTGATACAGCTGATTGTGGAGGTATTATTGTTGCTGATGCTGTTGTCGATGATGATGATGATGCTACTGATGGTTGTGTTGAATTACTCCCACACAATTGCCCTATAAACAAAATCTTAACGTATGGTGATTTATGATGTTTCATATCGGTACCGGTTTCTTCACTCGCTTCACCAGTGATATTATCGTTAGTAGTTTCATCGCCATGTTCACTGTCACCGTTATTAGCTTCATCTTTACTGAGGTTTTCATGTCCAGTGTTGTCATGATTGTTGCTAGCTGTCGCCTCATCATTATGTGGACTAGGTATAATAGATTACCACTGTTATCACACCTCTTAGTAGTCGCATCAATAGTTGTAGTCGAGGCATTGTTAGTCCCATTATCCACGACTTCAGGATCTGTTGGTTGAAAACATGTATTCTCATGATCTGGATTGTATCATTTGGTGATTGAGTTCTACACGATTGAAGTGTAGACTTCACATTTCTTTTATGACGTATATCAATATGCTCATTGAGGAATGTCTTACATGATGCAATCTTTCGACATACAGAACACTGATAAAGCATAAAATCCACATTTTCACTCGAATGTTCATGATTGAAATGAATTTCAAGATGATTCAACCAATGTGTATGAAAATAACACAATGGACAATGGAGAACTAAAACATCAGATGCATCAAGTAATGGGAGAAGACCCATAGTTATTAGGTTGGTTAGTTTTAATATTCACGTGTTCTTTTTCTTCTTCGAATAAAAAAGTGTTTAAAAATTACTTTATGACGGATGTGTGAATAATTTCTTCTGTTCTCTACGCTGTATGCATTTCATCCGTTTTCTAAATCAATGAAATTAAAAATGGGTGGACTGTAAATTTCTTCATGTTTCTTTGATAGTGGCATTCTGACGACGTGTCAAATCGCGTCAGAAGCTACCTACCTACCTACCAACACACATAAAAAAGGTTAGGGGGTGAGAGATGAATATTCACTCTACACTATAAGCAAGTAAAATAGTTTGACGCACCATTCTGTATATCGCACATGTGTGAAATTCCACTGGGGGGAGAGATGACTTGTCCGCTTACGTGTTTGTATACGCTCACTAGTAAGGGTTGAAAGATAGATTGCTGTCACCCTGTCGATCAAACCTGCCTTACTCCGATTGGCACCCTACAGCTGTCACATGACACATGCGGCAGCTGATATGTCATTCGACGAGATTGGTGCGTTCGTATGTTAAAGCATGCCATGTATGGCAGAAGAGAGTGAGTGGGTGGGCTATCCATCGGAGCAACAAAATTCATACGGGGGGGGAGAGGTGTTAAGTATGTCCTTGTACCATATAACACTATGACATGTAGCTGACGAAGTGTATGTATTTACTACAGGGGGCAGATAGTTTAGTGGCTAGTTGTCATACGAATCAACGAAACAAATTAATCAACTACTACTGAATAATTGTTAGTTTAAGGGGATATTTCTTTATCAGGTTTAGGAAAATTAAGACTAGGGATGAATTTCAAAGAGGTTGACAATGAAAACTTGAATGTTCTCCTACTAAAAGAGGGAGTGAATTAGTGGATAGAAAACAAACAGGTCATTTCACATAAATATTGTGAAAAGAAATATTTTTGGAAAAATTGCTTCAGTATATGCACAAGTAAGTAATAAAATCTAGCGTACTCACATACACACACACACACACATTCAATAAGACCATGGTAACAAGAATTACGATTGACGGTGGCCATTAGCGTTTTGCACGCTTACCTCAACTGATATTAATAACAGGCATGCTCAACTAAGTCACATAGTGAGCATATGTACATATATGACTTAGCTAGAAGGTTGAAAATTTGAACGAGACTTCTTCATTCAGTATGAGGTGATTTGTGTTGAATAACACAGTGACCACGATTGTGGTTTACTTGGTGCTTATCAGTGGAATCCATGACACGTGTTTCGTGTACCCCAGTGAGTGATGTTAGTCCCACTGAGACTCGAACCTAGTAGACGTTGCTTCAAACGTGAAAGCATTATCCACTAAACTACTGACAATACAGGAGTTGTGGTTTCCACTTCGTCGGAAATCAGGTCTAATCTAGCAGACTGACATTTATGACAAGTGGAATGAAAACCTGAATCAAAGAAGGAATCCAACCATGCTAGCATGGGACTCTTCAGCTGTGCTCGCTCTTGGCCTCTTCAGGGATTGAACCCAGGATGTTCAGGTCTCGGACCGAGCACGAGTAAAGATATGTGAAGTCTCAGATTTCAACCCAGTGCCCAAATGATTAACGTGATTGCTGAGAAGCCTGAGGGTCTTGGACTCTAGCCCTGACGACGTCAAGGATGCACACTGCTGAGGAGCCTAGTGATAAGATGGTACACCTATCCAGTGAATCCATGTTCTTTCAACGGTCCCCCAACCTTGAAATAAGTTACATCTGCACACATTTCAGCGTGTGTGAAGTAAGTAATTCCAGCTGTTCTCTGTTCACGCTTCAATTAACTGTTCCACAGTTAGGTGAGGCGAGAAATATGAATAGATGTCTCCCTAACTAACTATTTTACACCTGTATAGAGAAGCCAATCAACATCCAGTTATTTATGCTGTATGATGGTTGGAGGTGAAATGAAAATTTAGACTGCGGCCGGACTCGGACCAGCCACCACCGGGTTTCCAGCCCGATGCACTACCAACTAAGATACGAGTTAGACCTACGAGGTGGTCACTGATTTGAATCCGGTTGTGGTCCAAATTTTGATTTCACCTTCAGTCACCACCCGGCATAAATACTAGTCTGCTAAACTACGGCAGATAATGATAATCAAATTATTTCTTGATTACCTCGTTAGCACATACGGAAATAAAACATATACTAGTGATCTTATCCATTAATTTTTAATTTCGACAGTGTAACTGGTTTCGCTGTTTATCAACATCACTCTGTTGTCATGACAACAATGAACAACCATATGATTGTCTATTATGTAATATTTATCAGTGAAAATGATCTAAATGGATTGATAATTAATTGAGGGATCAAAATAAAAATGAATATTTTGAAATGGTAATACTTTAGCGTTTTGCATCCAGTCTGGAAAATTTCATGTGAGATTGTATGGAGTAAATTGAAGAGTTTACGAACTGCAATATACTGCTATTACCTTTTGTGGTTTCTAGGTCAACTAAGCGTCACCAACCAAATCTCCCGCTTCCAGTCGGAGGCATATCTTTGGGAACGATGTACACATCAGGCCAAGCAATACTGCTAAGCTCGCTGGTATCTGCTCTCACCTACTCAGCAGGGGCAGCAGCGAGTGCCTATACTGTGTCATCCCGTTAAGTCAGTTCGTACCTCACCGTCATCACTCAACTAATAACAACCCATATCCCACCGCGGCTAGGCATTTCAGCTCTTACTACCTTCTTGGTTAGCAGGCAACTGACCACGTTCAGGAGACAGTTGGTGACTTCCTCCGAAGACCCATTCTCCAGGCGAAAGAGATGATAGAAGCCTCATCACCTCAAGTGTTCGATAGTTACAGCTGGTATAGTTACCAGGGTGGACTTTATCGTTGACCTTCAACTCAAACGATAGATAAAGGAAAATACTTTGGCCAGCTAGGTCCTAGTAGCATGTTATTCGAGGAAGGCCTCAGGTATATGGCTTACAACCTACATCATACCTCTCATGTATCTGTATAAGGGGTATGAAACCCCAATATATCTCTGGAGTTTGAGAATGAACTTGAACCAGTACATACTGCATCCAGTGAACACGCAGGCCATCTCAACTTTTCCGTATGACTTTGTGACTTGAAAATACCCTAGACATCAGAGTCATCAGCAAAGCCAGCTATCCGACCAAGGACGACTGAACGTGCCCTATCGGTTAGGCATTCATTTAATTGATAAAAATACGGTCGACTAGGTCACAGTACTGTGAGTGACCGCCAATATTTAGCTTACAGTATTCTTATTCCTGGCATACATCGTGAGACACACACTATGCAGATATTTTAAAACGACCCCAAATTACTTACCAGCAGGAACCACGTGGAGGTTGACCGTTTGTAAAAATATGTCAACCAGAGTTCCTCAAACCATTACAACTTCGAATTCAATGACTAGTAACAGAAAATACCTTAGTCCTTGCAAAATCCATTAAGTTAGATGAAGAGTCAACTTAATGTAAGCCAGATAAAGAAGCATTTGGTTACCACAAGAGAACCATAGTTACCGCCACTCACTACTTATGCTACTACTACTACAACCACTACTCACATTACTACTACTACTACTACTACTACTACTACTACTACTACTACTACTACTACTACTACTACTACTACTACTACTACTACTACTACTACTACTACTACTACTACTACTACTACTGCTACTACTGCTACTACTACTACTACTGAATGTCGTATATGAGAGCAACATTATATAGCACAATTATAACTGTGAAACAGTCTTCAATCTAATACTATGTACTGAATATCAGTATTAATTGTTTTCATGTACACAGATTCATGTTTATCTTATTTTCTTGTTGAATTTATGAGAAATCAAAATTTTACATGAGTTGAACTGATCACAAGAGAAGAACCATTTTCATACTGTTTAGTCTTAAGTGCTAAATGAACTCTACCGATCATGAAGCTAGAAGATCCACTATTATGATTTACTTTGGTTGATTTTAGTTGATTAGAGATAATCAATAGAAAACCATACTTGACCAAGGTTTCGTGATTCTTGGCACTCATCAATAAGGCGTATCTGTTACCTTGAGGAAGTTCATTCAGTGCTGTAGTCAGAGATGTTATCACTAGGCTGTTCTGCCCATGGTTGATCTCCTGCAGAACTGGATTCAGCACATTGGTTGGTCACTAGACGGTAACCAATTATTATATTGTTTAGTCTATCAAAGTCTGATCCGTTAAGTGGTGAATTCATTAAATATAGCACTAGATGGTGTGGGTTCGAATCTCTCAGGAGACATTAGTTCCCTTACTGATGAGTATCAATAAGCACGAAGTCTTAGTCATGTAGGGTTTCCTTCCGACTGTCTATAACCGATTGCCTTATATCATAATACGAAGATGGAAGTTACTAGGAGAAGAGATCTCATAAGGAAAGTGATAATATTGTCGATAGTTGTGAAATGTTATTGAGAATAATAAGGAGGAATTACAAGTATCAATATATAGCAATCCTACTACGGTTCATGAAGTGCGTTGAGGATTCAGAATGAGTGAGTTTTCCAGGTTTTCGTTAGCTATTTGGCTTCTATCATCTAGTACTCTAAATCCATCCTCTTCATTGTTCAATAGTGTTTCGATGACGAATGAGTGGTATTATAAGGTCAAACCTCATCCTCCATTTTTGCTGGACATACTTCACAACTATAAATTAACACAAAGAGTACTGACAGACACCAGTGAAACTTATAACCTTGAATAAGGGAGTGGTGTGCATCCCTGGTCATAATAGTGGGAATTTCAGACCAACATTCAGTTGAACACATTCATCATTATTTTAGTGATCGTAGTTTTCATGTTCACTCGTCCAATGGGTAATTTTTTAGTCACTGTTGTATTGTTCCTATGGAATCGGGATCCGCCCAGTAACCTTATGCAACAGGCAATGAGCCACACCTGCTGTATGCGGGCTTATGGTACTACCTAACTGCTCAAACCTCGGTGGGCAGGGTGGTGTTATAACCTGCAACCCACTAGCTGAAAGCCAACTCTCTAAACCAGTGAGCCAAAACTCCTTACAACTCGACCATAAGTCAATTACAATCTGCTTTGCCTTTTTGATTGCTATTCATTTCACTGTCAGAGTAAGTGATCAGTAATTCTCATGTCTTAAGATGATGTTATACCCAGTCGGATTACATCATGTATGAAACTATTACTTAGTCAATGAGCTTTAAACACTGTGAATGGAGCAGATCGGAGAGTAGTATTTCTCTCTCTCCCTATGTGTGTGTGTGTGTCTATGTTTCTCTGAATCATTTCCATTCACCCCACTATAAGCTAAGATGCGGAGGCCTCAATAGGCCTAGATAAGAAGAAAGACTAACACGACTGATTTACATGACAGCTGGCAAACACTTAAGTGGTTGAAGGGAACAGGAGACCTAGTGACTAACCTCCATCCTCCTGCTGCAGTAGCTATAGTCTCAATCCAATAGCTTTGCGACCATTACTTCAAGTATCATTATGACCGTTATTATCTTTCTCCAATTCAAACTCAATCAGCACTCCATTGGTTTAAAACCAGTCGGCTAGATGAAGAGTATTTCAATTATTCTTGTTGACAGAACTCAAACTACATTACTGAAAAGTATTCATCACTGCCATGCCTTGAGATGGATATCACGAAGTTCTTATGACCAGTGGAGTCAATCAGTCGGAAGTGAAGTGGATGTCAACTGAACATCTTATTGGATAGTTGTGCTAAACAGCAAAATGACAGAAGTAGGAAACTGTGGATAGGCGAACTCTGACTTAGTGACTGAATGGTCAACGTGTTCATCGCGAAACCTGAAGGTCACACGTCCGTACTGCTGAGGGGTCGCATACTAAGGGACGAAACAGTTGTTCAGCACTTTCAGGTTTTCAGTGGTTCCCCATAGTGAACATCAATCTGAATTACTCGCTAGTGCTTATTAATGACTTGCTTCGAGGGGTGATTCCTGAAGTTCTAATGAGAAGTCGTGGCCGGTGGGGCAAACCAAGTCGGATGGGAGGATATTTACTCAACGACAGTACTGAATGGAGATTGTGTTTTACCGCGAACTAACAGAAATGGGAAAGTGTGGACCATTAGATTCCTACCCAGCGACTGGATTTCATCCGTGGTGGGGTGGGATCCAATAATAGGACAAAACAGTTGTCTAGTCCCCTCGAGATTCCCATGGTTCTGCAGTTGATTTCAGTCCATGATAACTACAAACCTGAAACCTCAAAACCTCCAAGTTGAAGATGTTTCCCTAGGAATTTAAGTGAATTGGGATGTTATGTCATTTACATATGCGTCCACTGATTAACTCTGAAAGGTGATGAGAACATGCAGACTACATTGGTTATTCTCTATTCAGAGAATAATTTTATCTTGATAGAATGGTATCATGATTGACATAAAAGACAGGCTTCGTAACGATGGGTTCTAGGTTCGAGTCTCTGGAAACAAAATCATTTATTAGGAGGTGTGACACTGAGAACACTAGACAGAAATCACATTGCATCAAAACCGGTCAGTGGACATTACAATGCTTTTTTTAAAATTAAACAATCGGACTTCCCCAGTCCATACCGGTTGTGAGTTAGCCGTCACGCACCAGACAAAGCAAGCATAGTAGTTTGACGCAATCCAAAGCAAGTTCACGTGCATTGCAATACTGACAGCTGAAACCGCCCTCCAGGGCCCAGTAACACGCAACACAGCGCATCGAAGAACATAAAGTAGCAAAGAAACTAACCACCAACTGGGTCAACACGCATCTCATCTCTCCAGGGCCTTCTCCCGAAGTTACTGACCTCATTTTGCCGAACTCCCTTACATTTAACTGACGAATCATAAACAGGACGAGGTGTATGTCTTCAGTTCCATTGTTGGCTAATATTCATCTTCAATATCCCTGTGTTTATATAGTGTTATTTAAAAGTGTCAATCAGTAGGGAATATTACATCATTCACTGGCATGCAGGTATAACCACATGAAGAGTCCCGGACAGGACGAAACGCGCATCGTGGATTCCACTGTTAGCTACCGAGTAGATTACGATATTTTTTTATGAAGTTCTACGTCAATCATTAGACGTGAACTGGTGGTCTGATAGTAACATTTTCTTCTGTAGATAGACCTACCGCCAGCCACGTGATTCATCGAAGAAAGTTTGTTCACACGATCTGATCAAGATACTGACGTTGGAATAAGATGATTGTCCACTTCGATATGATCTTTGCGTATTTTCATCAAGTTAAGTTACTGCTGAGTGACACTATAAATGGTGGTGTTCTGTCATATTTAGGAGTCATCAAGTGGATTCACTTTTATCCTAGTCTTGGCAATCCTACTGACACATAGACACAACATTCTTGGCTTCAGATATCAGAAAGTTGGTCATCTGTTTACTTTTCTTAACTACGATAAGTTCTTTGGAGTTTCGGATTGTTAACCGAAATGATTAAACCGCTTTGGATCGTGCACCGGAGTATACTCATTGAGGTAACAGTCTCACGTTGGAAGCCTGAAGACTTCACATTTGTATTTCAGCAGGATCAACAAGATAATGAAATCCAATGGTATACACCTGATAAGTTTCAGATGAGACGAAAAATGCAATCTAAATCCCATTCCTATACACTACTAAAAGCAACACTGAAATTTAACAAAATATTTGATACCAATGCTTTCACGAAAGAAGCTAATTTTCATTGATCAATTAATCATTTTGGTGCTGAAAATCAGAGAGACGGTTACTTCAAGTTTTAATAATGGTTATTACTCTCTTATGAGTATTACCGATAAATTCAGTCAAGGTCACGGATTGGTGAATCAATTTAACCATTGAACGACAGGTTTAATTTTTTATTCCTCAGAAAAAGGGAACTTGTGAGATGTGTTCAAGTCATTCATGGCAGATATGATTGATAAGACTTCTAGAGTTTAGTTTATTTCTAATACTCTGAAGAAAATGACTGAAGTTATGTGGAAAACCCTGACTGAAGTTCAATATATTCATTACGGGACTTCAAATCAGTAGTCGCCAAAGATTGACATCAGTTAGAAAAACACTGAGAACAAATAGGCATTGTAAAACTTTTTCGTCCTTACCCTGGACTTGTCAGTAGTGTGCAGGCACGGTTCCACATGACCAGATTCACCAAGGCTCCGAAGTGAGGCAGATACTCATCGATGATGACTACACAACGACACGAATCAATGGAAACGGAAATTAATGGACCATTGATAACTAACCCAAGGACTGAATGGTAAAGGTCACAAGACATAACTCCACGGTTCAGCGACTGATCTCTGTCGAGGTCGTGTGTGTAGACTACTGAGGACTACCATACTGGTCGGTGCTCTCGGGTTTTCAAGGGTTGTCTGCGCGATTAAAGGATCTGCCTTTAAACCAATAAATCCCTAAAAACACCAATTTGATGTGTAAAATCGGTGAACGCCTATAATTATAGTTGAATTCCAGGCATTTTTCTCAGAATTTAGCCTTTAAAGTTATTTTAGTTCGAATTCTCCCGGTATCATCTTTCATTTTCAACTTCCATTATTTATCTCACATTGAATCTAGTTTCGATACTGATGTATACCACAGTGCTGGAAACAAGCTCGGTTCCTTGAGTATATTTACATTAAGACATTGTAAATCAGCTCACTTATTACACATTTCATTTCGGTAACATTGTTAGTACTATCTTGTATGTGAGGCCGTTAGTAAAACTGTTGACTTGTTAATGCATACACGCATGACCAAAGTCATCCTAACAATGACAACAACAACCATCACTACTACTCCTACTCCTACTACCACTACTACTACTACCACTGCTACTACTACTACTACTACTACTACTACTACTACTACTACTACTACTACTACTACTACTACTACTACTACTACTACTACTACTACTACTACTACTACTACTACTACTACTACTACTACTACTACTACTACTACTACTACTACTACTACTACTACTACTACTACTACTAGTACTCACATCACTATTGTCTATGAATCATTCAATTTCTTTAGAATTTAGTATTGAACGGGAAAATTCGAATTGTTTTTCAAATTAGCTACCATTCTCACCACGTCGAATATGTCTACCCTTATCAGCTGTCAGTTATGCTCGACCAAATTACAGTCAATTAACTCATTAACTAACTAGCTAACTGACAGGTGAAATTGAAGTAAATCATGTCAATTTGAAAAGACGACACAGAGATCTATATTCCAAAGGAAATCAAAAAATAAACGATCCATTTTCTTCATAGATTTGTTTATACATACAATAGTCGAGTAGAGAAATGGTCAATCAAAGTCAAAGACATTTGTAAACAATGTCGTCGATAGTAATGCAGTATAAGATTTATGGGGATTTTATTTATTTCAAAATAGTATTCAATACGAACTGATATTGGTTGGGGAAGCATCGAGAACCTAGGAACACTGGAAAGCTGTTTTACCCTAATACGTCCCACATCAGAAATCGAACTCGTGAACTGTATATCCTACAGCTAATGCGTTCCCTGCTCAAACAGCGAGTTGGATTTCAGTGGTCCACAATTGTTTAGTTTTTCTAATTCGTGTACTGCTGACAAGTTCTATACAAGGACGAAACAGGTGTCCTATGCTTCTAGGTTTTCAATGGCTCTTCAACTGACTTTAGTACTTAGCGAATACTACTTTGAAATATCGATAGTGACACTAGTAGTTAGAGTTGGTAAAGGTGTAAAATAGGAAAAACTAAATGATTTTTCAATCCATCCGTCTTTCAATCAACTTATCATAATAAACATCATATTCAGAGAACTAGAAATAACTTCATCAAATCTCGCAGAAAAGTGTACACCCAAAACAAGTTTGATAAAGTAGTTGAAACGAAAAGAGAACATGGATACATCTACACCAATACAACCAATCATAACGTCTATAGCAAGCCTATCGAAAGTACCAAGCCTTATGCACAAATCCAATCGATCTGGATAGGGTGGGAGTATTGTAAATTATTCAATAACTACTACTCATATCTCATAGTTCAGATTGTGCATGTGATTTTACTTGAATAGCTGTATACCTGCTGGAATCACAAAGGTGAGTTGTGTAAGTAATTGACGAATGAAGGAAGATGGTGGTTGGAATAAGCCAGCGGTGTCTAGTAATTTCAGACTGTCTTTTAGACCTGGAAGAAATTGGATCGATCATATTTTAACCCGCCAACGGATTTTGGAATACAGGCATACTTACCGACCAAGGGCTGACACTTGTCATATTTATTAACCTGAGGACACCATTTGACTCAATCGACCATGACTGTGAAGGGAGTACCAAGCAAGTATATAACGTTAATCAAAGCCATCTACTCGAATTCACACAGCTATATCAGGGCTTATGGAGAATTGTCATGTGAATTGATGACAACTAGTGGTGTCCGGTAGGAATGCCCACTGTCATCGTTCTTGTTTAACTTCGTCATTGATATACTAATGGAAATAACCTAAGGTGCACAAGAATTGACCTATTCCCTGTAGGTCATGCGGTGAACTTGGAGTAAGCAGACGATATTATCGTGGAAGATGAAGACGCTGACAAAATGCAGGGTCTTGTAAATACATTGAACAGAAATCTCAATATGTTTGTCATGCGTTTTACTAACGCTCCTGTCAAATGTAAGGTGATGCTTAGAATTGGTCTGGTACAACCACTCTCAGTTTAATGGACAACATTTAGCAACTTGAATCATCTATGGAGCCAACTGGCGAGATATCTGACAATCTATCAGAGAACGAGTACACTACGATGCAGTCCGTTCTGCCTTGCTGTATGACTGTGAGATATAGACGTTAAAAGTAAGAGACATGAAACGACTACAGGGTTTTGATCACAGGTGTTTACGCAGCATTGCTCACGTTTGGTCGAGTCACCGTGTGAATAATATTGAGGTCAGGGGAAGGGTAAACGGCAAAATAGACAAGTCAATTGATGAAGTTGTGAACCTTAGTTGACTGGAGTGAGGTAACTTAGACATGTACTGAGCATGTCGAATGAGCCTCCACCTACCTCGAGGTGTCATTCTAGGAGAAGCTGGATTAGGTTGGAAGAGGATTGAGGGGGGCTAGACCGCGACAATATTATTTAAGGTAGCATTTACTATGGACTGAAATCAGTTGGAGAACCATTAAAAACTTGGGAAGACTGAGCAGCCGTTTTATCTTAGTATGGGACCCCTCAGCAGCATGCACTGACAACCCTTCGCAATGGATCGAACTCTGGACCTTCAGGCTTCTCGGGGAACGCGTTAACCATCCAACCATTGAGTCGGAGTTTAATTGTCAACAGTTTCCTACTTCTGTCAATTCGCGATACAGAGAGACTATCCACTAAGGTTCGACCGATGTTAACCCCACAGGTCACTGCTTCTCACTGTAACTTCAGGACTGACAGAATTAGGAAACTGCGGAACATTGAATTCCGACCCAGTGACTGAATAGGTAACGCGTTCGGCGTGAAACCCGAAGGTCTTGAGTTCGACCCCTGGTGGGGGTTGTGGGTACATACTGATGAAGAGTCTTATTCTAAGACAAAACAGTTGTCCAATGCTTTCAGGTTTACAACAGTTCTCACACTGATTTCATCCCGTGATGAAAATTATTGTTAAAATCAGATTTTTAACCACTATCAGTGTAATAATGTTGAAAATGTCATTTTCATTTTCACTTGTTGAAATCGGCCAACAAATAAATAAAATGGAAGTGGGAAATTTAAAACGGTAATGATGACAGTCGTTAATTGGTACACAGAACAAGAAACAGTGAAAATTAAATTATCAGCAGTATATCAAAGTGATAGTCTAAAAAATTCAATCTTTGTCGTTAATCCTCTCTCCAACACTAGGTGTGAACGAAATCTTCCCAGAATAAAAAATAAACACAACTAAACGACGACATTGGATGTTGGCCACGCTATATCGTGAACTGACAGAAGTAAGAAGGTGTAGACCATTGGATTATGACCCAGTGGCTCAATAGTAACGTACTAGCCACTTAATCTGAAGGTGTTGGGCTCGATCCCTGGTGGGTGGGGTTATGAGTACACACTTTCCAGTGTTCCCAGGTTTTCAATGTCCCCCCAACGAATGTCGGCCCATGATGAATTCCAACCTGAAATCAATTCATAAATTTCCACAAACCTCCAGATATAAATATAATTTTCATTTCATGAAAATTTCAAGTGGGAATCATTTCTCCTTGTTCAAGCAGCCACTTTACCAAAATTGTCATGTCGCTTTCAGTCTCTTGCTTTATTGTTTGCTTGTTTTTTCCTTTTACTGTGACGCCTATCTATTGTACATTTAAAGTGGTCACTTACATTTCTGTGGCTGTTTTGTGATTGTTATAGTCATTGACAGTGTTCAAAGGGATGGTGTTGTTTGCCAATGAAGGTGAAATGGATTATCATTATTATTATTTGAATAAGCCTTTAAATAGATCATACGTTGTTAGCGTCCATTTACCGTATGTTGAGAGAGTATATTTGCTTTAGTCTTAAGTGGAAATGTGCATAAATTTGTCACATTTAAAATGGCATCAATGATTATCAATGGAAATGATGGTGATGATGATAACAGTCCCCTAGTCAATGAATCCTGCTTTCCCTTCCTATTCTGCTTCTATTTATGTCTCTAATTTATGTTACCCATCTCTCTCCCTCTCTTTCTATGTCTCCTTCACATGTTGTACTACGAGAACACAACCAAGACTACCCACTATCATCAAACAGAGATGTATTTACCTAAGACTCGCCTGTGTATTCAGTCGACAAGTGGAACTACTTGAAAGACAATACTTTTACAAGCATATAATATCTTCAATGTATCTTATTCAATTTGTTGCTGGTTCATTTCTTCTAGCATTTCGTTTATCTACCTTTTTTTATTTTAAAGTTATCTGTTTACTTGTTTATTTGTTTGTTTGTGTTCTGGCCTTTTTGTTTTGTTTTCTAGCATTCTGTGATTTGGATATTGTAGTCATTCAATGTTATGATGAAAGTCAGGGCAGGGGGAAGGGGACACACACACACACACAACGAGACAGTCAGAGAAGAGAATATAGGTGAAAGATGATTGTGTCTGTGAATTTTCTTTGAAGACAAGAAATTATGAACTGATATTGGCAAATACAATGATGATGGAGATGACAAATGGTATTAATGACCAAAATGATGATGATGATGACTATGATAACAATTATTTATGAGAAAAAGATAATCCACTTGAACTAAAACAAAGTGAGGGAAAAACAAAAAGGCCGAGGAGAAATAATCCAAAATTTTCTTGATGCTAAAATTTTCGTTAATCTACACTTCAGTTTATGGTTTCTGAGGTTTCGATTAATTTGAAGCAGATAACTAATGAAATATCAAGAGCATTGGATGGTTGATTTGTCCTAAGTCAAAACTGCTCAGGAGTAGACGTTCATGGCCTCTTGAGGAATCGAACCAAAGACTGGCAAGCTTCATAACAAACACATTACTATCCAGCCATTTTGTTAAGAAACAATGGTTCACTTTTCCTACTTCTGATAATTCTTAACATCATTTTGACTATCTGAGATAGTCGTGATTTGACAGTCTAGTACTGATACTGGGTGATGATTGTAGTTCAGTTGGTAGAGCACAAAGCCAGAAGCCCAGTAGTTGCTGGTTCGAATCCGACTACTGTCCAAATTTTCATTTCACCTTCAATCATTGTGCAGTATGAATTCTCGATATGACACGACCATTATCCAATGTGATTAGTGGGCATCCGGTCACGGCATCTCATTTGAACTTTGGTAAATACACCTTGAACTAAGTCACTAATGAGATCTGGATGGTTTACTTTTAGGGGGAATTTATCGACCCCAAAGTAGCTTTTATCATGAACTGGTATCAGTGGGAAACCAGCTGAAAATATAAAGTAGATAGAATATTTAATACTATCCTATCATTATTATAATGACCGATTAGGTAAGTATCAATAGAAGCAGTCTCAAAAAGAAA